GTGAACTCATGTACTATTTATTCATTTATTTTCTTCAAGGCAGTTACAACTTTATATAGAGGTCTTATATAAAAACATCCTTTCCAGCCCGACCAATGTAGCTCCGTGGACTGAGCATCATCCCATGGACTGAGAAATCCCAGTTCGATTATCATCAGGGCACATGCCCAGGTTTCGGGTTCAATCCCCAGTAGGGAGCATGCAGAAAGCAGCCAATCAGTGTTTCTTTCTCACACTGATGTTTCTATCTCTTTCTCCCTTCCTCTCTCTTTAAAAAAATCAATAAAAACATAATAATAATTTAAATAATAATAATTTTTTTAAAACATTCTTAGCCCAGCTGGTGTGGCTCAGTGGTTGAGCATTGACCCACGCACCAAGAGGTCGCCAGTTTGATTCCTGGTCAGGGCATATGTTCAGGTTGTGGACCCGATCCCCAGTAGGGGGCATGCAGGAGGCGGCCAGTCAATGTTCTCTCTCATCGATGTTTCTATCTTTCTCTCCCTCTCCCTTTCTCTTTCTCTAAAACCCATAAAGGAAAAAAAAGTTTTTTAAAAAACATCCTTTTCTGTTTTTGAGAAAAATGAATATTTCTTTCCGAGTTGACAGCATCAACAAACTAAATACTAGTAGCAGCTTAAGAGCCTGTGCATGTGTTGTGTTGTTTTGTGTTATTCATTGTTATTACTGCCTCAGTTTAAAACAAATAGCAATGGAAAAGCCCCAAAAATGCATTTGTGTACATTTAGGTTTTATAATGAACTGAAAAATTATAAAACTTTTAGATGGGCTTGGTATTGAACTCTCAATATCAATTATATACATCTGCCAGACTAAAAATGTTTCTGTGGTTCTGCTGGTTATACCCAAAGAAAAAAAATAATGGAACTAGAAGGAGGTGTCAGTGGAAGGTGTTAAAATGATCAAAGGTGAAGAAAGATTTTAAGGTTAGACCAAAAATAGTGTTTATTCAATTTGAAAAGATGAAGGAGAAATGGAGTACAAACTAATTTTCCTACCTAATTTCAGAAACTTAAAATTAGTTGCACTTTTCAGAGTTTGAAATAGGCAACTTGAGTGCAGCTATGGAAATGCTTCCTTTCATGATTGAAAATTCACAGAGTTAGTCACATTAGGGTACAAGATAAGACTATAAATCAGTTCCGAAAAGACAGCAGATGCAAAGAGGTTAAATAGACCTGTTGACCTAGTGGTTCTTGCCTTCTGGAAACAGACTGACAGATGCCTTTGTGCTTTCCAGCAGAGCATCCACTGGGCCCCTACAAGCAGATTAGACTCCAGGTGGAGGTGCTGAATTCCTTCTGCTCGTCCAACTCCTCTCTGAGACTCTCCCCCCAGGCAACCTATTTCTGTGCCCATTTACTTCAGGGTGACTACTTCACACAGCAGGCTGAGAGTCCCTCCTTCTAGGCCAGAGATCATACCTGTTTTCTCTGAAGCTCCTGCTTAGCATGTGGCAAAAAGCAGGAACATTCAATAAAGACTTTGGTTATTGTCTGACTCAATAGGGTTCAAGTTTTTTTTTAAACACCATATCCTTGCATAAACCACACATAGCTTCTTGTTGAACGTTCCCCCTATGCTTCCTGGTATGGCCAATTAGTGTAGTAAGTCAGGTAGGGCATAGACTTTGAAGCAAGACACACCAGAGTTGAGCCCTGGCCCCGCCCCTTCTAGCTGTGACCGTCCTTGGCCTCTCTGAACCTCACTTCCATATCGAGAAAGGTCAGGTAATGTATCTACCTTACTTCGTTTTCCTATGGATATGCCTGGCACATAACAAACACTCAAGAAATCAGGAGCTACTGTCATTATGATGTTACTTTAATACTTCATTAATTTAGTGTATAACTTGTGGATCTTATAAAATGAATCAAATATAGACCTGCCTTAAGGACCTCACAGCACAGAAAAGTGAACAAGTGGACACATAGGGTAATTCATAGAGTGTGTTGGGGGGACAGGAATTGCACAGAGCTTTGGGAGTTCACAGACCAACAAATGATACATCCTTGGTCTGGTACAGCCAAAACTGCTTCCCGGCAGGTAGGCTTGCCACCTTAGTATCCACTAGATACACGGTTGTTTTATTTTAATCTTATAGTATTAATAAATTTCTACCTAGATTATATATCAGCATAAGCAATACTGGGGGGAAAACAATAAAAATTAGATAAGATTTCACAAAAATAACTGATTGAAAATGATAACTAGGTTTCTGTGGGATCTGTTGAATTTTTTTAATATACAAAAAAAATTTTTTCGCTAGTATTTTTGTTATTGCAGTTTCATAAGTCCAGAAATTTAGAACTGGCTTTCGTAACTTTATAAAGCTGGTATCATCTAATTCTGCTGTTGATGGTGTGCTAGGGTTCGGGATTCACTGGGACATTTAGTACTAATTTCTTCATATCATCTCTTGCTTTCCAAGGCTTTCAGTAAAGGATGATGAATGAGCTGACTTTGAACTAATTTCCAGATTTTTTTCTACTCAGAACAAAGTAAAAGTCCTGAGAAGAGCAGGTAGAAGGAAGTGGGTTGAGTTAATACCTTTTCAGAAACAACAGGGGAGATAAGGATTGATTTCTGCCTTGTACCTTTTTATCCCATTAATGTCCACTTAATGTTTCCAGTGAAAGAATACCCATAGCCTAGTGGGCGTAATTATTCAAAATTTAAAAGTATCCACAGTCTCTTCAACGATGAATGGTCAAACTGTGGTACATCCATGCAATGAAATACTACCCAACATTCAAACGGATTAAATTATTGATAGGTGTAAGAACCTCGATGAATCTCCAGAGAATTATGCTAGGTCAAAAAAGCCAATCCCAAAAGATTACATACTGTGTGTTTCATTTATATAACATCTTTAAAACGATGAAATTATATAAATGGAGAACAGAGTAGTGGTTGTTGGGGTTAGGAGGGAATAGGGTACGAGGAAAATGAATGTGGCTATAAAAAGGATCCTTGTGGTGATGGAAATATTCTGTAGCTTGACTTGTATCAATGTCAGTACCCCAGCTGTGCTGTTGTAACAGTTTCCCAAGATGTTACCATTGGGGGAAACTTGGTGAAGCATACGTGAGATCTCTGTGTTATTTCTTACAACTGCATGTGAATCTACAGTTATCTCAAAATAAAAGTCAAATTAAAAAAAAAACAAACTGGCCACAGTAATTTCCATGTGGATAAACACTTGATTTATGGCTTAAGCCCCAAATCTTTAATATAATGAAATAGTACTGCAAAAAAAACTTGGAACATATGGACAAGTACAGAATAAAGTATAAATAGGACAATAAAGATAACTACTGTTACCCTTTTGGAGTATTTTATTCTGGATCTATATATATTTTTTCAGTCATCATTGCAAATACATAGTTTATGTGGTTTTGTATTCTGCTTTCTTTTGGATTTTATATCATGAGGATTTCTCTATTTTTCAAAATCTTTAAAAGCATTTTTCATTTGGCTACATAGTCCATTATATAGATGTTCTATAATTTATGTGATCATTCTCTAATTATTATATCTTTTCCATTTTCTATGATAAATATCTTATACATAGACCTTTTTCTACATTTTCTGTTTTTTCTTAAGGTAGATTTTTGTAAATGGAATTACAGAATCAAAGTTCGTGAGCATTATTAAGGCTCTTTATTTTATGTTACCAGATTACTTTCTGGAAAAGTGCTACCCATTTACATTCTTACCAATCTATACATACAAATGAGTAAAGATTCAAGACCAGAAGTAATTAGAAGCAGCATAAAGTTCCAGAACAGAAAGATTTAAGATTTCTATCTTTATCTAAAGCAAGGTTTCTGAACCTCAGCCCTATTGACATTTTGGGCTGCATAATTTTTTGGGGGGAATGGGAACTGTCCTGGACATTGTAAGATGTTAAATAGCATCCCAGGCCTCTACGCACTAGACAACAGTAGCACAACCTATCCCCCTCCCACCAGCACCAACACAGTTGTGACAACCAGAAATGTGGGGCAGAATTGCCGCTGTCTGAAAACTACTGATCGAAGACTTACATGTGTAACAAGGGCCTTATTCTTAGAATTTTCCTAACATCGTGAATGCTAATATTCTGAAGCCTCACCTCTCAGGGTTCTTTTCTTTCTCTGGAGTATGTATGTATGTCTGTGTTGTCTGCAGAGTGAAATAGGATAATCATTTCTTTAAGGCTGCGTAAGTGACTTGGTTACTACTCAGTACGTCTCTTTCTCTGCTGATAGCTCTCAGGATTCCTAGTTATAAGAGAAAACTTAAAGCGACCACACTACCATTTGCTTTTGCCCTGCAAAAATGATTTGCCCTAATGGTTAATATGGTATTTGGAAGTGTCAGTCGGTATACTTACCTTTTGTCTTTGTCTTCCGAATAAAAGCTCAACAGACTGAGAACAACTTGGTTCTCTTGACTTTGTATGTGAACAAAAGAAAAAGAATGGATTGGGATATTTGTCAACTTAAGTTTGAGCTTTAAAAATCCTAAGAAGCCTACTTTACACCTCAGGAGCGCCCAGATGAAAATGTTTGCCCCTCAGATCTACAGCCGGCTTTCCTCAGTTCCTGATGGAATGCACCTATATGAAAGGCTCACCTGTGTTATTTCTGTCATATTCCAAAACATCACGGGGTCATGGGACCCACATTCATCTGATGCATAACTTGCTGTACCGGATCTTCCAGTAGCTCATAGTTGATGAATTTCCTTAATTCGAGTAAGACAAGCTTTAAAAACGAAGCGCACACATTACATCGTTAAGAACATCAACTCATTGAAAATACTCTATCCTTAAAGTTATGAAATTCTGTGTAAGTCTGTCCTTCACTGAGGACAGCAACCTTTGAAGTTCTGTTCGTTAGCCCATTGTTCTGAAATGCAAGATTTAGATCACAAAGGTTAGTCTGACATGGACTTTCTGTACTGGCTGTTTCTTTTCTGTTTGTTCCCCTTAGGAGCAGTCTCACAGGTGCTGGACAGCCTGGAAGAAATTCACGCACTTACAGACTGCAGTGAAAAGGACTTAGATTTTCTACACAGTGTTTTCCAGGATCAGCATCTTCACACACTACTAGATGTAAGTCTTCCTTTTTATTATTATTTGTGGGGGATACAATTGAGCATATGATTTTACTTTATATAAATTTCTCGATGTCCATCATAACAATCTTTTTTCAGTCGCCTTAAGTCTGTGGGAAATCATCAATCACAGATTTATAACTAAAATAAAATATTATATTTATATATATCACAATGCAATATAACCCAGCAAGTCACGGTGAAAAAAATTATGTGTATGTGTATATGTGTGTATGTCTGTTAGGAGAATCCATTGATCTTAGCTGTGATTACTTTTTATTGCTTTAAACACTGTTTTAAAACATTGACCTCAAGCATGAGTATAGGAGAGAAAAACAAATAAAATATTGTGTATTGGACTGTAGTCATATATTTCATATTTAACATTGCTGGTTTTCATAGATTCAGTGTCTTCTCCTTAAAGCATAAGGATATACTTCATTATTAAATAGGACAAGCTCCATTGACAGCAGATTGAGATAAAAAGAAAAATCAAAAGTTGATAGTTTACATCTGCTTTCATTTCAGTCACATTTTAGTAAAATGCCTTTCTTAGAGAACTTGATTCACTTCAGCAGTGAAAACTTTCTTAGTACATATTAGTCTAGTAGTATATATTAGGTTTCTTCCCAAGAAAAACCTTCCCTTAATAGAGTAATATTTGCTTTGGGTTGCCTAGAACTTTTGGTGCCAACTCTGATCAGTGCACCATATTGATACAAATGCAACTAAGGCAAAATTGTCTGGAATGTATTCTTCAGGACGTTGCTCTGGGAGACAGTGATGAGTATTGCCATGGGGGGGTAGATCTTAAATTTATTGGTTAAATTATTGCTTGACTAATTAAGTTTGGGAAATGCTACATTCTTTATTCCCTTTTTACAGATTTACAATGGATGTTAGTATATTAACACCTCTGAGATATCCTATAGCAAAGAAACCTGATTAACGTTAAGAGCATTTCTCAAACTAATTTGGGCACATAATTTTTTTAATCACAGTCCTGTTGAATTGATCAGGACTGGTTTGGGAAAAGCAAAACTAAGAGTATTGCATTATGTTCAACTTCACACTAAGTGCAGCCATAGGTATCTAACATTGACTTCTTTCCATAAATGTGGTCAAACTAAATTATCAAATGTTAAAAAATTAGTTTGGCTTTCTTATATTCTATTTCTTGCTCACATCATAGCCTAATACAGGAAGATGGGAGCGGGTCTCTTCCACATAGTCATTCAGGGATCCAAGTCTCTTCCACTATGTAGTTCTGCCATCTCCCAGCCCCTTGGAATCTTCCACTTCATCCTTTGCACCCAGCCAGCAGGTGAAAGAAAATGGAAAACTTTGTAGGGTCAAGGTTGGAAATGGGCTATATCACTTTTGCCCATATTTCATTTGCAAGTACTAGTTATATACATACCTAGCTGCAAGAAAGCTGGGAAGCATAGTTTTAAAATGCAGTTAGTGAAATAAGCGAGGCAGAGAAAGAAAAATACTGCATGGTGTCACTTATATATAGAATCCTAAAAAAAAATGAACTCATGGAAACAGAATAGAATGATGGTTGTCCCTGGCCAGGGGGAAATTGTAAAAGGGCACAGGCTTTCAATTATAAGATGAATATAGTCTGGGGATGTAACGTATAACATGGTGACTATAGTGGATAACACTGTATTGTGTAATTGAAATTTGTTGAGAGTAGAACTTAAAGTGTTTTCACCAAAACAAAAAAAAAAAGATAACTATGTGAGGTAATGGGTGTGTTAATTAACTTGATTGTGGGAATCCTTTCACTGCGTATACATTTATCAAATCGTCATGTTTTAATCTTTAAATATATTACAGTTGTATTTGTCAATTTTATCCCAATAAAGCTAAAAGCGTACTCAGGGAAATAAGGAAATGGTTCTTCTCTTTGGTGTAATTTATCTCAAGTGATTCGAGGACATTTCAGATTAAGTTTATTTCAAATAGCTTACTTTCCTTGGGCACCAAAAGCCCTTGAAATTCATTCTCTTTTGTGACTTGCTTCTAGCCCTCCTCCTCCTCCACCACCACCACCACCACCATCACATCATCATCATAGTTGTCATTATGTGTCATTTAATTAACGTTTGGCCTCTATTCATTGGTTATTTAAATATCTGTTGTCCTCTATCATTGCTTCATATGATGCAGAAAGTTTTCACAACTGTGAGTTTCCCACAGAAGTCCTACCCTTTAGCGGAATTAGTGTGTGGGATATATGAAAGAAGCTGCAGCAGGGCCTGGAGATTTGGTTTATTTCTGTGTAGTCAGTGGTTAGGTATTTGCTAAGATTTACTGACCTTTAGATCAAGGATTTTTTGTCACTTAAAGGCTCAGAGAAGCCCAACTTGGTTTCTGAAGTTGTATTTTTCTTAATATAACAAGGTATCTGAGCGCACCAAGCTTGAGACTGCAGAGGAAATGCAAGAACATTGCGGGTTTTTACAAAGAAGGGCAGATGGTCAGAAACAGACTGGACTTTGGAGCTGAGCCAGGCCACCAATTATTGCCCAATGCTAAACTTCTCAGACCTCACCGAAAACATTTATTTTGAATAACTGCTACATTCTTGGGTAGACATTATTACAACTTCAGAAGAGACTCAGATTTTAGAGAGGAAAAACATGTCTAAAGTCCTTTGGGGTGCTTATGAATTATAAACTTAAAGATGTGTCTGCAGTATCAGCATCTGCCTTATCAATGCACCTCAATTTAAAAAGGAGCTGGTGGACTGAAAATGAGGTCTGCTCATTAAAAAGACGCTATGTCTGCAGAATTTGGCAGACAAGTGCTACACGTGAAGCCCGGTCCCTTCCTGAAATGACTGACTGAAAGGCCGGCCCTGGGCAGTGTTCGGATGCATTTGGTTCTGAAGATGCTAACTGAGCTGTCCTTCAAGGGAAGCTTAATCATCATGGATGACATAGGCCATCATGATCTACAGCCCATAAATACTGTTCATTAAGCTCTTATTTCAGAGCTAAGAGACTACATTTCAATAATGCAATCAATGAAGTATTCAGTTGGCTGCCACATAGAGAAACCTAACCATTAAATTTGTTTTAATACTTAAATGCTTATGGTATGCACAAAAAAAAAAAACGAACATGGTATGACCGACTCTCGAGAAGAAGCTTTTCAAACTTTGACCAGTCATTAGTCTTCTTTCTAATGTTCCATATTCCATACTTGGATTTGGATTATTTTGTTTTGCAAAATCAATGTTGGTTTCTTTTCAAAGATTCCAAGTAGTGACACCTAGTGGTATAGTTTTTTGGACTATGGATTGACTGTTATTAATCCTACTGAGCCAGTTTATAAAATATCTTAATTATATTTAAATAATTTGTTAATTCACAAATAGCTAAATTTGAGGCCATAATTTTAAAATGACAAGAAACAGGATTAAGTTCCTACAGAAGACTAAAGACTAAATACTAAAGTATTTTATTTTTTCTAGTCATGCGTTTAAAACAGTAACAAACTCAAAATTCAAAGAAACATTGTTAGCGTTTGTTCGGAGGAAACGAAACATCTGCCATGTTGAAAGAATTTACAGTAAAACAAAAGAAGAAACATAGTGGTTCCGCTGAGGAAGGAAATGCTTTCTGATTTGAATTCTAATAAAACACATCTAGTTGAATCCGTAGTTTAGAAATAGGTCCAGAATCTCTAAATATTTGCTACCCAGCTTGTCCCACCTGGCACAGACATGCGGCTCCCCATTTTGTAGGAAGAAATAAAAAGGCTTGAGAAGGAGCTATGCTTAGCCCAGGATGTTCCAATATATCTACTTTCAGAAATTAAAAGCACTGGTACAGAGATGGGTGTGTGTGTGTGTGTGTGTGTGTGTGTGTGTGAGTGTGTGTATACACACACATATATATATACATATATACCTATATATGTATATAAATTTTAATACAATACAGTTTCGCATGTGTATTAATTTGCTAAAGCTGCTGTAACAAAGTACCATAAACTGGGTGGCTTAAAATAACAGAAATTATTTCCTCACAATTCTGGAGCTAGAAGTCCTAAATCAAGATGTCAGCGAGGCTGCACTCCCTCCAAAGGCCCCAGGGAAGGATCCTTCCTTGCCTCTTCCATCTTCTGGTAGTTGCCTGCAATACTTGGCATTCCTTGGCTTGTAAATGCATCACTTCAATCTCTGCCTTCATCTTCGCATGGAATTTTCCTCTGTATTCCTGTGACTCTGTGTCTTCATGTGACCTTATAAGTCGTTGGGTTTAAGACCTACCCTAATTCAATATGACCTCATCTCAATTAATTACATCTGCAAAGACCCTATTTCCAGATAAGGTCACATTCTGAGGTAGACATGAATTCTGAGACAGTGTTCAGTCCATTATAGCATGGAAAACTGATTTTTGCCCTGAGTTGACTTTTCAGGTGTGTGTAAGTACAAATTACACAAATCTAATATAAAATAGTGATGTGTTACCCTGTCATTCATTAATTAGGTTTTCTTGGGAATTGGTGTTAACGTGTAGTTATGTCATTTAATGATATTTTTGAACCAGTGTGGGGTTGAAACTTATATGTGATATGTGGGGTTGTCAGATGATGGATTTTTTTTTGATGGACTGAAAAATCAGGAGTTTTTTCTTTTTTAGATAAAAAGCATCTTGCAAATTTATTTGGTGGTGATTCTCAGTGTTCTCTATTTCTTGTAGAAATGTTCCTATTTACAGAATAAATGTTTATTTTATAAGTCAGCAGTGTTATAAAACATTGTTAAATGACACATTTATCTCTCTGCCAAACTCTGACAACTGAATTTTAAACACTCACCCACCATCTGTCACACCTCTGAACAACAGCTGTTAGCATTTATTGCGTACTGCTATTTTCTTAGTAAATGTGATACCCCACCTATTTAAGATTATTTTTGTGAGAAGTCCTAAAATTGTTTTCTAAAAATATAATTAGTGATTAGGTTAATAAATA